AATTCAAAATAATCATTAAACATTTCGTTCAAACTTAATTATTATTCTCATACATAACATTGCAGACCCGTTTGACGTAAACCAAGTTAACAAAATTAATAATAATAATAAAATAAAAACTCCGCCACTGAGCCATGCAGCGACAAATGTATCAACACATATATATATAAATATATATTACACACGGCGCACCGAGCGCGCCGGCACTGCGCTGTCTAAACATACTTATAATACGCAACAAGTTATAATTCAATAGAATTAGTATAACATATCAATCTCAACATGTGTAAAGGTTGATGAGACAACGACTGAACGGCGCTTGAGACTCTCGGGTACGCGGCCGTGCGCTGCGTGCACTCGGTACCGCTCGGGTCCGTTCGGCATCGTTCGGCAACGTTCGGTACCACCGAGAGTTGCCGAGTGACGACGAACGTTGCGGACGAGAGCACGCATCGCAGCGGGCCTTTCTCACACCGTACACTCGCAGGCCGTTTGGAAATCAAACAGAGCGGGCGCGGCGCGGCGGCCGACGCACGAGATACGAGTACGCACATATACAAATAAGGTAGAAAACTGCGAGTGTACCGCGGGGACCGCACACGACCACATCCTTGCGGAGCGTTCATTCCACATGGAACCGAGTGAAAATTTTAATGATAAACAATTAATATATTACAATAATCCCTACAGCTCGGGACGCGTTAGTGACGATGTCAATATGCGCAAGTTGATTCCTCAGTCTTTAATAAATTGATGACAATGAGCAAGGAGAAGAACGTAAATGAAACAATGTTATGCAATTATATACAGATTGTGAGTTCATGCGCGCGCCGTCTCGTCGCCGGCCCGCGTGTCGGCCGGACGCCGGACACCGGACAGCGGTGCCGGACGGGACGCCGGACGCCGGTCTCCGGACGCGGCGCCCGGGCGGCGGCGCGCGGCGGTCGTGTGCGATCCGCGCCCATCCAAAAACAAGCGTTATGGTGATGTCTTAATGTTGAGTTCGACTTGAACGCACAGCCATTTTCCTAAACACAGTATCGAACATTACTCTAGCCTAGCGCACCCATCGGCTGCCACCTTTCACTTGTATACCCACTAGTCTACCTACAGTAATTACAATAAACCACGCTATCAACAAATTCAACAACATTTAGCTATTAAAATTAAAAGGAGGTCGAGATGCGCGGTTTGCGAGTCGGCACCCGTCCCGGCTCCGCACGCCGACCTGTACCTCGCCGTGACGGTCCACTCAACAATGACAACTATCTTAAGCCTACAACATTCAAATTCCTTAACACTAGGAGCGCTACTAACGGAGGAGCGACGTCAACGATTCGACGCGCCGTGAACGACGTCAACGACTCGACGCGACGTGAACAACTCGACGCGACGTGATCGACTCGATGCGACGTGAACGACGTCAACGACGCGACGTGAACAACTCGACGCGACGTGATCGACTCGATGCGACGTGAACGACTCGACGGGAGCGCGGGCTGCGGGGGCGCGGGGGGTGCTGTAGGCCGAACCGACGTGCGACGATGCTTATTACATTTGTCAGTATCACAGAAACAGTACAATACGGGTTTGTACGCACCGGCGCCGCGCGGCGGCCGCCGTCCGGACGCCGGTCACATCCGGACGGTAGCCGGACAGCCGCCGGACCACACCGGACGGCGGCCGCCGCCCGCGCGCGGTCTCACAGTGGTCGGGACGACGTTCAACTATTTATTATCTTCCACGCGATATAATTAATTCAGACAATGTTACCGCACTAAATTATTATTTTGTATCCACGATAATATACTCTCAAATATTGTAACAACTTCAGTATAACAACTTTTTAACATTTTTTTCCAGTTATTTTAAATTATCTATATATACCCATTATATTGTTTTAATATGATAATTATAACTAACTAGAATTCCACTGTTAACTATTCACTTTCGGCGCGTTCCTCCCAGTGCTCACTAGAAGACGTATTGTGCGAGTCAGAGAGGGCGGGGGGGAGGGATAACAACGGACAGGTGGCGCGATTACATGGTCCCTTGGCTGTAAACGAAGGTGTTCTTTGCTGCAGTCAACATTAACGAAGTCAAAGAGCACCTCCTATCACGAGCGCGCCACAAAAGCGCTCTCAATACACGGATTGTGAAGTTTACAGCCGCGTCAAACACTGCGAGGAACATACCGTATAACAATACAGCCAAGAAGTATAACAGCGTAGTAAAGAAGAAACTTTAGAAGAGTATAACTACATCTACCCCGGTGCTCGCTCGAACCGAATTCAAATTTTGCCGACGAGTTGCATTCGAAAAATGAAGTTTTCTGAATAATTGACGTATTGACTTACACGTATCGACTACTCGAGTTTAATCCAATAAAAATTGAGCTTGTTAAATCGACGTTCACAGGCAAGTGCGTTGGGAGGTGTCTGCCAACACGCATACAGGCTTCGCACGATCGCGACGCTTGGAAAACTCACTCGCGTGCCGCTGTCTTACTTGTCCGTACTTTGTCTTCAAACCAACAACAGTCTAAAACCACGTCTGAATGTTTTCAAGGTCGTCGCGAGCGTGACACAACCTCAAATTTAATTGACACAACACGATATCTGTACTACCCCCAAATATACATACATTATAAGATGAGAAAAGTCGAAAAACACCAGAAAGTTCGAACAGCGATTACTATACACTTTAAAGATTGAATATATGATAAGATCTAACTACGTGAACGCATCTAGTGCAAATGTTACCTACATAACACATGTAATAGTCCCAGTAACAATACACAACATAGCTACGTGTCGTTGGACTGCCTGACAGTTTGACTTACCACTATATATTTATAACTACAACTTTCACTTTCAAGGAAGTACGAGGTTATGGCGTCTCTGTGTTCAAAGTCAATTTACATAACACTTGAATCTTTGAGGGGAATATATCTCAATTCCTTTCCTTACACACTATAGTAAATTAGTCGTTTAAGCCGATTCGAATATATATATTATTATGATTATTACAATTTCTTTGTACTTCTGTCCTTTGATAAGTAATCACCCCGCCTGGAGTTAGCCGGCCGCTAGAGGACGCCACGTGGGGCCCGGGGAGTTAACGGGGAAATAGTCGTGACGTAGACAAGATGGCGGCCATGCCGCGCTACGAAAACCTACGATGGCACTTCTGAGGTAAACGAACAACTTAAAACTATTTCCCGGCGAGGAGAGTATGCGTGTACCCTTGCATGGACACCGACCGCCGACAACCGTTCAACTGCGGTGTCGGGTAACAATCACAGTTTATTTATTAATAATTATATTTCTCTACGGCGACAAACTAAACGCCCAGCTCAATAGTAGCGCACTACATGTACATATATTGCCTCCCACGGTTACATAGCGAATGTAAATAAGAATTCTATTATATTGTCTTCGTGAATTATAATATAGAAATCTGCATTAAAAATGTTTAAAATATATTCTCTATTATTCTGGACATGCATTATTATAAAATTGTACTTATATCGTAATAAATTTAGACCGACAACAAATCAATAACTATGAAACATTCCTAACAAAATTATAACACAATAATTATAAATGTATAAAAAATAAAGATCTTTAACGAGAGAAATCAGGAATGACCGTAACTCTGGCTACCAGATTCCAGACGCCATCTTGTACTTTATACACACACATGCACTCCGACGCTACATTACTCCATGCACTGTCATTTACCGCAACCTTTTTAATGTATCACATCAACAACGGCACAGTTTTTTCGGATATTTTAAACCACAAATAATGCAGAATAAAGTGTAATTTATATTCAATTTAATTTTAGATCCTTCTCAAACACAACAACAAAATTTTTTTTAGTACAATACTACAAATGTTCTACTTTTTTTCGGATATACTCATTGTGATTTACATAATCTTATTTTAGCTTTTTATTATTATTGTCAGTAAATATTTTAACAAACAATTTCATAACAAATAATGGGTTCAACAAATATATATACAATATCTATATATCACTGAATATCTAAATATCTATATGCAAATTATTGATTCGAATTATCGTTGATACGCTGTAGCGTATTTACATGTTGATTTGGACTTGTATCGTATCGTTTGGTATCAATAATAGGTACTTAGTTCATATTGTATATCGTAAATTCTGACTGATATCACAGATATATATATTTCAATATATATTTGCTATTCAATACCTATGTATAGGATTCAGTAAATTCTATGTGGTTTATGACAGAGTGTAGTAATATAGCGAGGGATGTGTATACGGTAGCGCCCTTTTGTCTCCACTTTGACGAGACTGCGGCCAGGGGAGCCCTCGGCGCTCTCGTGACGTTTGCTGGCACATCGACTACAATAACCCTATATACGTCGTAAACTAACAAAAAAATAACTTATCAATGGTAACATTTACAGTGAAATCAAGTTATAAATATTAAAATGAAAAAATAAAATGTGTATGGAATAGGAAATTCCGTGATAGGACATATCACAATCGTATATTCGTTAAATATTAAACGAAGCCCGCGTGCTGAGCACGGCGAGGCGACGGTTTCATTTGTCATCACAATAAAAACATAATATTATATAATAGCATTAATAATAATAATTCAACACCACTATTACTATAGTTATATGCGTAAAATTAATATACATAAATCTATGTATTGTAAATAGGTAACTATGTGTCGGGACGGGCCGGGCGGCGCGTATTGCACGCCCCGATACTGTTGCGGTGGTCGACCGTCGGACGGCTCGCCGCTGGCCGTCTGCCAGCCCGACGGCCGGCCCCTGGCGGCCAGTCAACCGTCGACCGTCCCAGAGACGGCCAGTAACCGTTCACCACCGGTAACACGGCCAGTGATCGCTGATCGCCTGCGAAACGGTCGGTGACTCAGACCGCCCGCGATACGACCAATGATCGCTGACCGCCGACAAGACGGCCAATGATCGCTGATCGCCCTTGAGACGGCCGGTGACCGCTGACCGGCCGCGAGTCGCCGCCGGCCCGTCCCGAGAGCTGCGTAACGTTCGGCGTAACCAAAACAAAGTAAAACTTTCCTTAACTAGAGTCAGGTAACTCGCGCCACTCCTCTCGCTCCGCGTGCGTGGGCGGCGTGACTAGAACTACATACTACGCTAGAGCGCGGCGTCACGCGGCAGCGTTACTGCATCAGGCCGGAGATGGCGTTGTGGCGGGTGCGCTTCAGCTCCTCCTCCTGGATCTTCTGCTCGATGAGGTACTGCGCGCTGCTGATGGCGGTCGGGGTGCCCGTGATGGTCACGATGCGGTTGCGCGTGCCCGGCGCGAACGTGCCCTTCTTAGAGATCTGGATGTTGGCGCCGGACATCTGCTGGATCTCTACCAGACTGCGCCCGCCGGGGCCTGCAATGAACACCACTCTATATACATTTGTGGTCGTTTAAATTTATCTATAGCGTTAGACCAGAGTTCTATATTGACCTAGTGGATTGGGACACCTAAAAGTATAAATTTAGAACTTCAATAGTTATTTATCAATCACAAGAGTTACAGAGTTATTCAGCAAGGTGGGGCTTCCTATTCTTATCTTATGTTTAGGCAATGGTTACCATCTCATCACATTACCTCAATTGAGTCCATATTCGAATATAGATTGGGGAATAGATAGATAAGGTATGCAGTGGGATGATATTATTTCGGAGTCTTGCAATGTATTATGTTAGGTCGACCTATAGCGCGGTCCTGAATATTTTATTCTAATTCAGTGACTTTCAAATGCCTAGGTAACGTATATCGTTACCGCAGAGTTTACCCTTAAGGTAATAGCATTTGCTAGTAGAACAGCAGTGAAAGATGAATTCAAATCAATTAGGACCTCTTGGCAAATTTGTCAAGAAATTATTCTAACCCATTCTCGGTCTGAGGTTTTCCTCTACCCCCTAGGAGGTAGTACCTCAGACCCATCTAAGAGTCACCTAAGACCTGACACACCTAAGAGAGAAAAGAGTGAGCAGCACTGACCGAGTATGGCGCCGACGATGACCTCCGCAATCTCGACGTTCTTGGAGTCCTTGGCGCCGGCGTCGGCGGGCGTGGGGCTCTTGGAGAGCGGCAGCAGCGAGGCGGACGGGAAGCCGCCCACGCCGCCCACCGCGCCCACCGCGCCCACGCCGCCCACGCCGCCCACGCCGGCCGACAGCGAGATGGGCGCCACGGCTGGGGGGCGAAGCGCCTCGAATGCAACCTCCGCGAAACGCTCTAACGAGCCGCCGCGCCCGCCCGCCGCGCCTGCGCACGCGCGCCGTCACCACTACCGTCGCTGGTACCGCTCGTACCGCCGGTACTGCGCCGGTACCGCGCCGGTACCGCCGCCGGTACCGCAGTCGCCGGGGAGGGGAGCGCCCGGTACCGCACATTAGAACGTTTCGCGCCGGTGCCCACAGGGTTACGTCGCACAGACCACTACGCGCGCAGAGCGAGAGCTCTCGACCGGTGCCCATTCTGGAGAGTCGTAGCCGTTGCTAACATCAAATAATACCTTATCACCGTTAAAGTGACGTTCATTCTATTTTCGTAATGTTCGTATTCTTTTTCTTTTTTTTTTTTCTACTACAACTTTCCAGAATGAAGCTAGTGGTCAAGCTCCCACTCTGTATATTATGTAGTCGTCTGTGATGTTAACGAGCAGTCCGCTCGCACAGCGCCCCGTCCGCACGATGCTAGTGCACGCTCGACATACGATAACGTGACGAGGGACGTGACCGTCAAATTAACACAATGATTTTATTTTTAAAGGTAACATATCGCCCTTGCTCACAATTTAGTATAACTGTCTTTATTAATGTAATAAGTGCAATAAAGTATATATATATTACAGCGAAATTAACTATAAAGGCGACCAAATACTTGCTAAATCAATTCACAACTAAAAATTTGAAGTAAGTTAATTTAATTAAAACCAATATATTTAGGTAGCACCTTGATGCTGGATTTACAGTGCCTTATTTCTTACGCTTTTAAAATTGAACAAATAACATCTGAATGTTACCTTTACATTGATGCTACGTTATACTGATATAAAATATCAAGAGAAAAGTGTGATAGAAATTATGAGTAGGCTAAGTATCAAGAAAAGTCAACGGTAGTCGTTCCGTAGTCACAGAAAAAAAGTAACATTAACCTGCATCATATATTTTTAGAAACAAACCAGAATCAGTAGGTCTATGGTCGGGTTTTTGGTTTTTTAATTGGTTTGTTCTATGCAATACATTGAGATACGATACACATATAAGATAGATCAGACGGACCATCTGCAATAACAAATAAATCGTACACTAGCATGAACCGCGACTCAATTACTTTGAAGTTTAAAACGATACTTATTTCGTACGGTAGCGCTGTGCTGCGGACATAAAGTTAAAACGGGAAGAACAACTATTTACCAGGACACCACTATCAGTAACAATCCTGTGATTATGTAATACAGTTGCTATTATTCTCATATAACAGATAAATTGTTTCATACACTGTATTGCAATTATGTATGACATTTGACAGTTGTCATTTCGAACAGTCTTGTAACTGCAACTATCAACTGTATCATATCTAATTGAATCTTTTCATGCTATTTAAAAAAGAATTTTCATGCTATTTAAAGAAAAAAGTACTCAACTGCGTTACATAAACAGACCGCTGGACAAACATTCATATACAAAAAAAATTAAATAAGTACCGTATTGAAATATTGAATATATATCTAAAATCCATTTTAGTATAATAGCAAAATTTTGTTAAGTTATATTGTCATATTTGTTTGAATATATGAAAGTCCTTTGCTAGATTCTTTTATTGACTTTTTTAAACTATGACACGGTGCATATTAATTTAAATATTAAGTTGTTCTTCCCATAACCGACGCTGTGGGTAGTAAGATTACACACATACATAAAAACCTACATATTCTAACACTAACACAGCAAAAAACACGTCTACATTTAAATAACATCGTACACATCATATTTAACATACATAAAATAAACTGAAAAACGTGTTGAAAGTTAACCAACCACTATAATGCCCGTAAATTTTGGTAGTTCGATTTTAGGGTAATCTTTTCTTTGGTTTATTGTCTCTGAATATTAGGGGATTGATTAAATAATGCTGTTGCAATAGTTTCTTATTTTAAATAGATTATAATTGAAAGTTTTTGCGATTACCAACTTTTTTATTACTGTAGCTACATACAGTAATCAGTTGTATTAATAACCGTAGAGTGATCCATACATAGCTATATTTTAATTTAAGTATTTTAAAAATAAAAAACGATTTGACGTATTACATAAACAACCACCCGATAATGTTGCTACAATTGAATTGTAAGCGAGACGTAAAACGCTAAAAATCATTGATATTAAATTATCATTAACATTTTATAATAATAGAATTAGAATTAATTTATTTAAAAGCTGAAAGTGGACATATTTTTCCTAATATTAAAGAGGAAAATAACCCTTATTGTTATTGTATGTATGCATATAATACATTACCACATCCACAACGCCAAGTGTTGCGTATTGCCGACAGATGGTATGAGAAAGCGATGAATAGAAATTTAGAAATCATAGAATGTTACAGGAAGGCTAGATAACAACAAATAACTAAGCCAATTGTTACACAGATCAGCAATACAACACAGAATGTGCTCGAACATGCAATTACCACAACGTAATACTGTAAGACAACCCTAGAAAAAAAAAACAATCGGACGCGCCTCATTTCAATTTTTTTTTAAGAACGTTAACTAGTTGAGGCAAAGGAAAATATTTCGGCACTCAACTTTACTTTGTCTATAGCAAAATGGCGTGGTAACCGGCATTGTAGGAAATTAAAATTAGGAATTTTATGACGGGACTAAATTGGATGGAGAAGGGAGTTGTGTTGACTCGTTAAGTCACAGTGAAAAAGGGATTAATTGTAGAAAGCTGCAATTGAAAGGAGAAAAAAAAAGATATTTAATTTGAAATGAGAATAATGATGAGTAGCTAACTTCACGCCGTATCCATTCTTTTGGGGATATCTTTTATATGAAGATTTGACTTAAATTTATATACCAAGAAGGTTGTTCTACTGAATATGTATATATAATGAATTGAAATGTTACGCGTCCACTCGTAAAAATGAATAGAAGCTATTAATAAGAGAGATTTTAGTCGAAACAAGTCAGCCAATCGAGTCGAGATGGAGAAAGCATCGTGGGGAATTTAGAATTTTGAAGCACATGACATGGATCTAGTGTGAAGCTGTACAATACTTGTGTATAGATATGATCACGCGGCTCCGCGCGTAATAAACCAGCATTTATATCATATAATAATATATAATAATTAATATTTAGTTTCTTAAGTTCAGTCCATTTTTGTATTATTTAAATTAGATTCTACAAGTATTATTTACCTTTTGTATCTTTTTACACCGACTCTGATTATATTTAATAGAATTAGGTGTTATTTTGCGGAAGTCTATTTCACTACTCGATGGATTTATATTATTTTGTTTAATTCCGCTACAATTATCATGTGTGAGACCACAAATATTCGGTGTGGAAACTTGACTACCGTTACGACCTTCAATTGTCGTGGTTTGGTTGCCGAAGAGTCAACACTAGGCTTCCAATATATATCCGAAATCTATTCAACGCCTGATGATGACGTGTGTAGACTCAGTAGACTCGGTAGATTAAAAAAAATGTAATGACTATTCAAATGTGCTTCAATGTAAGTTTATTTGAATAAATGATTTTCTATTCTATTCTATTCAGTAACGGTCGGAATTTGATCGCCATTCGAAAAGGTCGTAACGGTAAAGTTTCCACACTAATATTTGTGGTCTCACACATGGTAATTGTGGCGGAATTAAACAAAATTATATAAATCCATCAAGTAGAATTTGATTATGACCATATAGAGCATCGACGACCTCGGTGGTCTAGCGGTCTAGCACACCGCTTTACGACCGATGGTCGCGGGTTCGATTCCTCGCACGGCACAAACATTTGTATTCATGAGTATGATTGTTTGTATCGGTCTGGGTGTTTTCTATGTATAATATGTATGTATTTACTAAAAATATCTATGTACATGTATCAGTTATCTTAGTACCCATAACACAAGCTTTAGCTAGCTTAACTTGGGTCTAGATGGCGCTGTGTGAATTGTCCTGAGATTATTATTATTATTATAGAGCATCGCTCTCGACTCAAGAACGATGTGACAGTATATTATAAAAGAGTTTTTTAACATCATTGCCTAAGCCAGCGGGTCATCAACGTTTTACAAATCAAGGGCCAAAAAAAATTATTTTCTGTACATATGTTTTTTTATAAGGATCTTTTTTTATATTAAAGGTACTTTTTATTACTTAATTGTTGTCGTTACTGAGAGCTGGCCTATGTTGTTGGCGGGCCGCGAGAAGACCCATTGCCTAAGCCATAAACGGAGAGTATGCTCAGATATGACGACCGATAGAGATCAGTGGAAGAGAATGACATACTGCGCCGACCACAGATAATGGGATAAAGACAAGGCAATGTTTTTTTTATATCTGTGGTAATTATATAAAATGGCGTCGCAGTATGTACCGTGGTAGATGGTGCAATAATTAATTGTTCTTCTATAGATATAAATAAAAGTGGAGTTGTTGTAAGTGTTGTAATATTGAAACAACCGTTTTTACTACATGCATATGAATATAAATACGGTACATACACCAAAATAACATTTTTCACAATTTTTGTCTGTCTGTCTGTTTGTTCCGGCTAATCTCTGAAATGGCTGGGCCCATTTTGACGGGACTTTTTTTGGCAGGTAGCTGATGTAATAAGGAGTAATTTAAGCTACTTTTATTTTAGAAAAAATGAAGTTAAATTCCACGCGCACGAAGTCGCGGGAATAGCTAGTTAATTATATAAACAACGGACGGTAGCGCAACAGTGCGTATGAAGGCGAAGGTCACGGCTACTTGAGTTATATTATTATATATGACTTAATATAATTGCTGATATGATAATGAAGTGTTGTCTGGCCCACAAACTTCTACGCTCTATGAGATTGCAATTAAATAATAAAACAAAATATATTCATTACAAGTTTTTGTATATCACTATATATATATAAATGTATTAACGTCTATTCTTTATGCGTTCCTCTAAACCATAGATTACAGCTGAACTTCTAACAAGTTCGTCTTTCTTCCATTAAAAAAAATCAGTTGAGTTTCTTGCCAGTTCTTTTCAATTGAATCTGTATACTGAACTGGACGGTAGGGAAAAAAATTTGTATAAAAAATTTGACGTTCACTTATGAACGTTAAATTTTTTATACTAATATTTTTCTAATTTCTAATCTTTTTTAGTCTAAAATGTCCTATGATTAATAAATGATTTTTGATTTAATTTGCTTAGGGTTTCTGACTCCGGATTATATATTTTTTTACATGTACAGTTTATTTATACACTTATCGCCAAACATGGCTGTCCAGGTTATGGCCGAACGCCATTACAATACATTATACAAATAATAAATACAAATGTGTGCATTTGATTGAAGATCGTGGAAGAAGCAAGAGCTCCATCGACAAGAGCACAGCTCTTAAATTATGAATGAATGAATGAACATATTGTTTATTATTCATTCATAATTTAAGAGCTTATTATGTAATAACTTTAGAACCCGTTTCTGAGTCAAAACGAAAATCTACAATAATGTTATGTATCAAAGAACATTCTATATCTAAACTCATTTGTCCTTGGTCGTACCTGGGGGGGGGGGAATGGGAATTGTAAACCGTTGATGATCTCGCAGGACGCAGCACCATTCCATGGAAACCATCGTGATAAATTCTTGATGAATTTGTCACGATGGGCTAGTTTATGGACCTCATGCTCATCTTATCATCCTCCACTGGTGCCCCGCCAAATAAACCGTTCATTCCATTACCATCCATAAAAAAAACCTAGTTTATGGACCCCGAGGGAAGAAGTTTATTTTGTAAGGAAAAAACTAAGCACCTCATTAGGTGCTTAGTTTTGTGCATGTCCTTGGCTAATGAACTACACGTTCATTAACGTTTAGCTGAAAAAATGGCAGATAACGACCTCAACAATTTATGTGCCCAAATGGCACTGTTATATCATTATTATTATGAAAAAAATAAAAATTATTATCAAATTTTATTTAACAAACAAAACAGATACGAAAAGAGTACTGGCCTACAGAATAGACTATACAAATACTACTGCGTCTCTCATAACAGTGGGTGTTGCATCAGTTTGTGGACCGGACAGTTTGTGATTGTTTTCAATTAATTAAAGACAGTTTACCATATAATCCCCGCTGGTGTGCGCTGCCGTCTGTTTAAAAATAAAACATACATAAATATGCGTACTGCACGGTGCAATGCAAAGCTTGTATGTGATACAATTATGGTGCAATACAATAAAAAAAATCGAGTGTCATGTAGCTCATTCCACATAGGTAAAGATATATTAGGTATATGTATAGTATATTATATCTCGGTGGTTTAGCTTTCCGATGGTCCGGGCTCGTCGCACGGCACAAACATTTGTATACATGAGTATGATTGTTTGTATATGGTGTTTTCTATGATAATATATATGTATTTACAAAAAAAAAAAAATCTATGTATATACGATCAGTTGTCTAGGGCAGCTTAAAACTCAGTGTGAATTGTCCTGAGATTATTATTATTATATCTTTTATCTTTTTTGTTTGTATTAACGAGTGATAAAATTAAAAATTCAATAATTATTTCAACTTACAATAAACGTATCAATTTTGATGTATTCTAAATTCTAGAAACAATAGTTTTTAAAAGTCAAACCATATCAAACTGCGCTGCTTCAAGGTTATGTCAACTGTTTGACAAACAAATAACCTTGATACAGCGCAGTTTGATGTGGTTAGACTTTTAAAAACTATGTACGTGCGTCAGTTCAAAGTTACATAGCCCATTCGAACCTGACCTGTCAGAAACGCGAACTCTGAGCGTCCGAACTTTAATAATAAACTTTATGTGGGCGATATATCAAAATGAATAGAGTTATTTGTGATGAAAACTTAATGTGATGTAATTATTATTAAATTCAACACAATACGTGTTGTGATGAATGAATAAATAAATAAAATTACTAAATGACAAAATTATAATGATATAACATAACATTATTACTTCTGGTTAACTTTTGCAATAATATTTTTAATTTTTATTTAATAAAATCAAATATCTTAGTGAATAGAATAGAATACAGAAAATTTTTTATTCAAATAAACTTACATTTAAGCGATTGTATATTTATATATCAAATAGTCGTATTAATTTTTTAATCTACCGCTTACTAGAAAAGCTGTCTCATCACAAGAACGAGGTGATAGTGAGGGTGGTGATGACGAGGATGACGACGGTGGTGGTGGACTCACCGAGGCCGACTTGTCCGATGGGCCCGAAGACTGCGGGCGGGTCCTGCGCCGGCAGCGGGAAGTAGGCGGCCGACAGCGGCGTGGCGGGCAGCGCCGCGGGCAGCGCTAGTCCGAGCACGCCGTGCTTCACCAGCAGCGCCAGCGCCGTGCTGATCTCGTTGATGCCCGCCTCCGAGTAGCCCGACTGCCGCAGAGCCACCTGCACATGTCCATGCAAAGTGTCAATTCTAGCTATCATTAGTGGTTACTAATGATAGCTAGGTTTGACACTTTGACGTTTGACACTTGGTCGACAGCTGGTTAGCTCTAGGAGGCTTTTGAATCCGTTACCCGGGGATCGTTGTCCCGAAGTCGATGCTGGGACAAAGAGGATTGGCCCGAGCCTCCAACTTTCACCCCTCTAGGGGGATGAAAATGGCCTGTGTCAGTGAGTCACCCAGCGATCCCCACTGGTTCATCTTTCATCGGATGCAGGTTGCACTCACTGGCACAAGTGTACTTGCTTTCACGGGACTTTCTTATTTATAGAAAAGATTTAACGAATTATACATCTAAATCTTAATAAGAAATCTCTCATATATGAACATGGAGGTGGAGGGAAGGACGGCCGGAGGAGGGAAGGATAGTAGAGTGGTGGTTGAGTGGGCGAGGACTATCGGAATGGAGATGGTGATTGTCGGGTGGGCGAAAACTGTTGGGGTGGAGGTCGGGTGTGAGAGGACGGTCGGGGTGGAGGTGATGATGGTTGGGTGTGCGAGGACGGTCGGGGTGGAGGTGATGACGGTTGGGTGTACGAGGAAGGTCGGGATGAGGTGATGGTGGTTGGTTGTGCGAGGACTATCGGGATGGAGGTGGTGATAGTCGGATGGGCGAGGACTGTCGGGGTGGAGGTCGGGTGTGCAAGGATGGTCGGGGTGGAGGTGATGATGGTTGGGTGTGCGAGGACGGTCGGGGTGAGGTGATGATGGTTGGGTGTATGAGGAAGGTCGGGGTGGAGGTGGTGGTGGTTGGGTGTACGAGGACGGTCGGGGTGGAGGTGATGATGGTTGGTGCCGAGTGACTAACGGGATGGAGGTGATGATTGTCGGGTGGGCGAAGACTGTCGGGGTGAAGGTTGTGTGTAATAGGACGGTCGGGGTGAGATGATGATGGTCGGGTGTGCAAGGATGGTCGGGGTGGAGGTGATGATAGTCGGGTGGGCGAAAACTGTCGGGATGGAGGTCGGGTGTGAGAGGACGGTCGGGGTGGAGGTGATGATGGTTGGGTGTGCGAGGACGGTCGGGGTGGAGGTGATGACGGTTGGGTGTGCGAGGACGGTCGGGGTGGAGGTGATGACGGTTGGGTGTGCGAGGACGGTCGGGGTGGAGGTGGTGATGCTTGGGTGTACAAAAAAAGGACGGTCGGGGTGGAGGTGGTGATGGTTGGGTGTACGAGGACGGTCGGAAAATATTAATTATTTATTAAGGCAGCCATTATCACAATAATTTTTATTAGTATTTAAATAGGGGGTGACATAACTTTTTTAATTCTAAATTTAAAATCAAAAGCATATAATTAAAAAAGGTGGTGATGCTTGGGTGTACTAGGACGGTCGGGGTGGAGGTGGTGATCATATTTGGGTGTACGAGGACGGTCGGGGTGGAGGTGATGTTGGTTGGGTGTGCGAGGACGGTCGGGGTGGAGGTGATGACGGTTGGGTGTGCGAGGACGGTCGGGGTGGAGGTGATGACGGTTGGGTGTGCGAGGACGGTCGGGGTGGAGGTGATGACGGTTGGGTGTGCGAGGACGGTCGGGGTGAGGTGATGATGGTTGGGTGTATGAGGAAGGTCGGGGTGGAGGTGGTGGTGGTTGGGTGTACGAGGACGGTCGGGGTGGAGGTGATGATGGTAGGATGTGTGAGGACTATCGGGATGGAGGTGGTGATCGTCGGATGTGCGAGGACTGTCGAGGCGGAGGTCGGCTGTAGGTGCATGCGGCTCACCTTGATGTGGTCGAGCATGTGCTGCGTGATGGGCGCGGGCTGCTGGGCGCCGGGCGGGGCCAGCGAGAGCGTGAGTGAGAGCGCGGCGAGCCCGGCCGCCGCCGCCGCCGCGCCGTTCACCAGCACCGAGCCCACCGAGCCCACCGACCCGCCCAGCGCGTGACCCTGCCGCACCGCACGTCTTACATTAACCGCCTGTTTCATTTATTCATATTTCACGCGTCGCCGCGGCTAAGGTTCTCGAATAAAATAATATTGCGACTATAAATTGGAATCTTATCTTTCGAGTTGGATCGAATTGCATACGATGTGCGAGTCAAGTTTACTTTGCTTCAGTAGTTTAGGAGTCCACCGCGGACGACCGACGTGACACGTAATTTTTATATATAAACTTTACAGCTAATTGCCGACACACATATTTTATAATTATTATTATATTTTATATACTATTCAAAAGTGTTCTTTCATTTTATTTGAATAAAGATTATTTCTATTTCTACTAATACTTAATTACACAAAAAATATCGCATAACACTTAATCTGCAAACATAGAGACCTTTAAACATTATACAGCCACCATAAAGAATTTCCGTAACAAAAAAAACTCACCAGCACCTTCTAGTCCCTTACCATACTACATATATACTTAATAACATATTTTTATAAACAACATATATTATATCTGATCAACGCAGTTGACTGGTAGAGAATGCCATCATATACATTTTTGTGAGCAAAATCATTCCATAGTATAAAACAAAGTCACTATCACTGTCTATCCGTGTCTCTATGTAAGCTTAAATCTTTAAAACTAAGCAACGGATTTTGAAGCGGTTTGTTTTAATAGATAGAGTGATTCAAGAGGAAGGTTTACATGTATAATATATGTACACCCGTGCGAAGCCGGGGCTAGTTACTAGTAATAAATAAATAAATAGAAAACATCCATATATAAATACACAAATGCATAATATACATAGAAACACCTATAACAATATAAATCTAGATAAATATATAAATATATAAAAAATCTAGGGGGTAAAGGGGATTGTTAGTAATGTGGATTCTCGACCCCATTACTAGCAATGTACCATGTCAGGTTGACCTCCACGCGGTTCCGCCTGGAAACCATCGTGATAAATTCCAGGTGAATCACGATGGGCTAACTGACCTGACCTCATACTCATCTTATCATCCTCCACTGCTCCGCCAGTGCAAACCGTTAGCACAGGCGGATGCACCATTCCATTATCGTCGATAAAAAAAATACAAAAAATCTTGTACATAAATATATCATGCGAGAATCGAACCTTCGACCATCGGATGTAAAGCTGTGCTACACGACTAGAATCTAACACTTGACATTTACGTATGTAGCATTTAAGGTGCTTTTTCATACAATACCGCTCTGACGAACTTGCGTTCGGAAACTAATGTCACCAGAACATAAACAATCATGCGTATACAATAATTAAAAAAAAAAAAAATTCTTACCTATTATGGAAATTAAAGGAAACAATGCTATTAATGTAATCTCAGCATCATGAGTGGAGAAAGGGTTTGTGTAACCACTTAAACACGCTCACAAGTGCTTTCCACCCTTTGTCTGCGCTGAGGGGGCGCGTCGTGTGACACCACAATGCCAATATAAGCTTTGTTCCATATACATTAAGTCATTAAATACATTGCATTGAACATTTGAGTTAAGCATTGGAAACGTGATAGCCGGATTAAGCGGATTTTAGTTATTATTATTTTGACCAATCTATTAATTATCAATATTACTTTACCAATCAAAAATAATCCTTATAGCAATAACAATTGAATATATTTTTGAATGTAGTTCAATATATGAATAAGTACCAACATAAATAAGTACCAATCAAAAATAATTCCTATGACACTATTAATAGAACATACTTTTAAATGTAGTTCAATTTCAGTTCTTGTTTGGTTAGGTATGTGATATAACTGTTTTGCCATAAACAAATTAGAAATTATCAATGGTTTAAAAATGTTTACAATTACTTTTTAATAATGAAAATACGTTATTAATATAGTTAAACGGGTTTTAACACGAATATTTTTATGGTAAATACTTTTATTTACCATAAAAACCTAAACCGAAACGTTTACTTCAATGACAAGCGTATATGGCAATAGTTGTACATGTACTGGATTTTCATTTAACGTTATTCATAGACACCTATATAAATATACATTGAAAATAAAGTGGCTTAAAAAAAAAGTAATTCAATTGAGTTTCTTGCCAGTTCTTCTCAACTGGATCTATATACTGAACTGGACGGTAGGGAAAAATTGTAATATGGCATTTTCATTTAATGTTAGACATAGACATCTATATAAATACATATTTTAAATAAATTGGCTTTAAAAAAAACAGCAATTCAATTGAGTTTATTGCCAATTCCTCTCAATTAGATCTATACTTGATATATACATTGAAAATGACGGTAAAAAAAAATTGTAATATATAAAATTTTACGTTCATAAGCAGCTAAAATGTCCTACATGAATAAATGTATTTTGAATTTTCAATTCTGAACCCGTTTCACTATATTAATATGTACAAAAACGCGAAAATTTAACAAAGTAATGTAAACTACCAAAACTAGAAGAATTTCCAAACATTTAACTGTTATCTAATCCAGAAATCGGATACACAATTAATAGATTGGTCTGCGGGGTAAATTTCGGGTGGCAATTTGCCGGGTCCAAAGTTTCGCCCAATCGCCCCGTCATCGCGTCACCCAAGCAGAAGAGGACAGGGCGGCCACAGACTATGTAGGGAGCGTGTCCAAGTCGTCACCTCTGTCACCTCGGTGGTGGGCACCGCGTACGGGGAGCCGGTGGGGTTGTAGTTGGCGACGGGGCCGGCCACGTCCGCGTACGACACGTTCGGACACGACCCCGACTGCGGGTCGTCGACCACCTTCTGCAGGATCATCACGCAGGCCTTCTTGTTGTTCTCCTTGTCACCTGAAAAGTTGCAGTTTATATAATTAATAATAATATCCTTGGGCAATTCAGACACTGCCATCTAGACCTAAGTTAAGCTAGCTAAAGCTCGTGTTTTTTTTTTATAACACAGGGGACAAACGAGCATGCGGCTCACCTGGTAAGTGATTACCGCCGCCCATGAGCATCCGCAACACCAGGGGAATTGCAAGTACGTTGTCGGCCTTTTAAAAAGGAATAAGCTCTTTTCTTGAAGGTTTCAATATCGTATCGGTTCGGAAATACCATTGCTGGAAGGTGATTCCACAATGTGGTTGTGCGAGGCAAAAAGTTTCTAGAAAACCATACTGTGGAAGACCGCCATTCATCCAGATGATCAGGATGGTATTTCAGTTTCTGGCGGGTGGTACGGTGGTGAAACTCAGCAGCTGGTATTAATCCGAACAATTCCTCAGAACATTCCCCGTGATATATGCGGTAGAAAATGCACAGAGATGCAATATCTCGCCGCAAAGCCAATGGGTCGAGTCTGTCACATAGACGTTGATTACCAATGTGTTATGGGTAACTAGATAAATGATACAAATACATACATATATATTTGTCGTAAATACATACATATTATACATAGAAAATACTCAGATCAATGCAAACAATCATACTTATGAATACAAATGTTTGCACTGTGCGAGGTAACGAATCTGCGACTATCAGAACAACAGATGCAAACAATCAAACTTTTGAATACAAATGTTAGCACCGTGCGAGGAAATGAACCCGCTACCATAAGGGGTGGTATTTTTAAACCGCTGGACCACCGAGGCCGTCATATCTTGAACAGCATCACATACTACGTAACGTGACACCCCTGGTACCTTTCCTATGTCTTTCTCGAGGACTCACCAGAGGTAGACGTATGTAGTTCTCTACGTAAGTACCTTAGGTTCATGTATTTTAGCCGTCAAGCAGCTTACTCTGTAACCTGTGTTTTAGTTGTACCAATTGAGCAGTAAAATTACAGGATAACAGGTATGACATCATAGTCCTCGTGAATGGCAACGCACGTATAGTATCATCATCATCATCATCGTTATCGCAGCCCGTAAGAAGTTTCACTGCTGGACTATGTCCAAAGATCGGTCCTGCGCTACTCGCATCCAATGCCTTCCAGCGATTTTGACCACATCGTCGGTCCAACTTGCTGGAGGCAATTCCACGCTGCGTCTTTAGATCCGTGGTCGCCACTCAAGGACTTTTTAGGGGCCATCTGTCCTACGAGCAATGTCATGCCATTGCCATCGCAATTCTTCGGGCTATGTCGGTGGTACGAATAGCATCAAGGGTATCAAATGATGATGTGTTGTCCGTACTGCTGTTCAAATATATAGGCGACAGTTTCCGCTTGCTATCAGGTAACCCGTGGCTATTTTACCATTCCGAGTACATAATAAAAACTCTGTTCCTTACTCGTATAATTTCACTTACTCTACGGGGAACAGAATCCACTCACCCACAACTGTGATGCACCGCTCCTGCAGCGACAGCTCCTTGGCCTTCTGCGAGATCTGTACGTAGCTTCCGCTCTGCTCCTTGATCTGCTTGATGTAGTTACCACCCTTGCCGATTATCATACCAGCGGTTGAATTCGGCACCAGTATCTTCACCTGCAACAATACAATTATGAATGTTATTACAGAGCTAGACTACCACATGTACATCTCGCTCTCAACTAAGCAAGCATCGATTTAAAAATACAACTATATTGAAGACCGTTTTTTAGAAGTCGGTTAGAAATATTAAATTTTCTATGAAATATAAGTTGAATAAGTTCGAGGTTGATCGAGCAGTAAAAATATCAGTGTATTTGCCACAATATTTGATTCAAGAATAATAAACATATTTCTTTTTCTATAACTAACTTTTTAGTTAACGGTTATAAAGATTTAGGCATACATAGGGACAGACGGTCCGTCCCTATGTATGCTTAATTTTTTAAAACTACGCAACGGATTTTGAATCGGTTCATAGAGTGATTCAAGAGGAAGGTTTATCACATAACATCCATACATTAAAGATAGATATGTAAGTATAACTATATACATATTTGTACCTAGTTATGCATAAACAGGTGCACTTGTAATACAATAATACAGAATAGAAAATAATTTATTGAATTAAACTTAAATTAAGCACTTTTGAACAGTCAGAGTTATCATTCTTTTAATACACCGCTCATTTGGAAAGCTTATTTATTAGTATATATCGATATATATATACAATATATAGTATAGTATAGATATGTCCTATATAAGAAACCTGCGTGTTGCTCTTTTAAATAATAATTGTAAATTTACATATCCAATTCGAAACGTGCGAATACCAACCACCAACTAGCACTAATTTATTAGGTTCAGATATTAAGGGGGTCTTCCTATGTGACGGCCTGTTTTTTAGGGATATTTTAGGATTTTTTTCTACGACCAGTAAATATTTAGAGCTTCAAGTTTTTTATCATTTATTAACACATATTTGGACAGTATAAATATAAAATTTCAGCTAAAAATATTCAGTCAAACTAGAGTTACAGCGCTCTGAACACCCCCGCCTCGAAAAAAAGAGCTCCCACTTCCTCCACGATTCCGGCTGATCGGCTTATCTTAAAAAAAAAAAAAACGGCGTTTTAATTTGTAGGCTTAAAAGCACGGAATGACCTATAATCAAATGAATATAAAAAAAATTGGATTTTTGATAGACATTTGAAATAAAAGTTGCAAATTAGGCGTTTTTTTTTTTGTTTTTTGCTATAAAAAAATCGAAGTTTTGAAAATTTTCGATTGATAATAGTTCATTCCATGCGTTTACATATATTGAGTGTGCCCTGTAAATTTCAAGTAATTCGGTCCAGCCGTTTCTGAGATACAATGGAGGAAAGTTTGAAAAACACAGTTTTGAGAAAAACGCGTTTAAAGTTTCAAGTCCGTTAAAAACTATTAAAATATCAACTTACTCTCAATCGGCGATGCCTGGTCCATAGAGTATTCCTTCCTCTTCCTCGTGAAACTCTTTTAAAGCAGATTGTTCAGCTCTTGAGTCAATCCTGGCTTGTTTAACGACATCACTTACGCGCCGCTCAGAGCGTAAGATTCGCTTTTCATCCCGTTTCTCAACATACGCTTGGGCTTCACGACCAACAGGGCATCCCATAATCGACATAACTTTTAAAATACCTTGAAAACCTTCATTAAAGATAATAACTGCTAAGTAGCTAGCAATTTCAACAACTTTGGGACCAGAATGAAGATGTTTAGGAGCGAAAGTCCAAATCAAAGAATTCAAAGATTCGTTATTGTTTTGTGTCTCTGCTCCTAAACAACGAATTAATAATTCGTCTTTCGATAAATCTTCGAAAACCGGTTTGATAGCTTCTTGGACTTGCGGAATTAGAGGTGGTTTATCGTGATGAAATTGCCTTACGCCATTTACACCAACTGTCTTCGCCTTCTGGACAAAATTGATGCTGAGGGTTTTCATCAGAAGAACATTTGTGATAGTACGTTGCCCAAACTTCCTTTCTCATATCTTCAAGCGAATCTGGATGGCGTCGAATTGCTAATCCGTAGAATTTTGTAATTTCTTGGATAACTTTATCAGTAAGTTTACCTGCTCCTTTTCCTCCTATTCCTTTATTGGTTTTATCTTAAACTTGTATAAACAAATATATTAATAAAAGGGAGGCCAGGTATAAAGCCGACGGTACACAATAGGCCCGGTCTCTAACTGCCAACTCACCGCTCCGAACCGCTCTTTCTATTTACCTGCTGTATAGATATAAAACGACTTCGAATTTTCTAAAATCGCTTTACTACCGTATTCTAGACATATTAAGGGAGCAATTTATAAAAAAAAAAAAAAAATCGATTTTTTCAACCCATCACATAGGAAGACCCCTTAAATACACAATAGGATTAAAACAGTCGCAGTGATTAGAGCAGACCAGTCCCTAATTATTCTAGCAATTTAGAACTTTAATATGGCTGCAATAAGGTTTTACTTAAATTACTGTTAGCTCGAGTCATCAGAGTATTTAAAAGAAAAAATTATATATTATTACATAATAATAAAATATAGAGCTAATAAATCTATGTTTCTGAAATGAAAGAATTCATAAAACACATTATTTGAAATAAGAACAAATATAAAATAAACCTATAAACCTTTTTACAATATTGGCTTAGATAATACATAAGTATATTAAAAATTACTAGTGGTAGCTCAATGCTCGAAATTCAAAAATCATTTATTCATGTAGGACCAGTCCCTAATTATTCTAGCAATTTAGAACTTTGATATGACTGCAATAAGGTTTTACTTAAATCACTGTTAGCTCCAGACATCATAGTATTTAAACGAAAAAATTATATATTATTACTATATTAACTTAATTAGGGCAATTAAATTAATTTAAAACGATACCTACAGTTCCAGGTTTCACTTAAATAACAAAAGGGAAAGTCGGCCTTTTCAAGTCCATGGAAACTGGGCAGCATTTTTGAACTTTCTACATAAATAAGGAAGAACTTGAAAGTTCAAATTTCACAATTGAAGCTCTTAAAATATACACACTAACTTTTCTATTGATATTGAAAAGCTCATAGTAGATACAAGGCAAAAATAAAATTTTTTTGGATTGGATTATCGTAAAAGTTACAATTCATTCAATACAACTGTATAGTTTTTAAATCAAATTAAAATATACAAGTTACATTATTACTATATATTTATTAATTTTCCATTCATATTTAGCAGATACAATAGAACGTAATCTAAATCCATAAAACATATATTTGTTATCAATGTACTTAATTCTGATTGTAATAATTGCATATTGAATAATTCCAATCGGTCCAAATATACATCCTTGGGGCACACCCTAGACATCGCAGTCACTATCTGCAATGCGCAAATATTTAGCGGATATAAAGAGAAGCGCTCTATAGCAACAAGCTACAAAAGTATGAACTTCCTTAACACTAGCGACCCCCACGCCTTTGAATTTTAGAATACTTTTATGAATATAAAATATAGCCTAAGTGTTACTAGCTAATAAATCTATGTTTCTGAAATGAAAGAATTCATAAAACACATTATTTGAAATAAGAACAAATATAAAATAAACCTATAAACCTTTTTACAATATTGGCTTAGATAATACATAAGTATATTAAAAATTACTAGTGGTAGCTCAATGCTCGAAATTCAAAAATCACTTATTCCATGTAGGACATTTTAGCCGTTTATGAACGTTAAATTTTTTCCCTATCGTCCAGTTCAGTATACAGATCCAATTGAGAAGAACTGGCAAGAAACTCAATTGAATTACTTGTTTTTAAGCCAGTTTATTTACAAGAAATTAATTATACTATTATTATAAGGTTCTACCGTCAAATACTTCTTCTTATGCTTATCTTATCTTTCTATGCGTGTGTATGTCAAATAAATGGTATTATGGATAATGTTTTTATTATTGATTTAATATTTTTTAATGCATATTTAAACAATAAATTGCATTCTGCACTCCTCTATATAAACTGTAAGTGAACAAAGTTTTTGATTTAAGTATTAATAATATAACGATTACAATGAAATATACTTTGCCACTAGAATACAGATTTCTATATATTTAGATTCAATGAAATAAAAGTGTTTGTCGAATTTCATATTAAAATTGTACATTTTGTTGAACAGTTAAAAAATTAAACAAGTCCTACACATAGCTAAACTAATAAAACTGAAAATAGCTTCATTATGAATAAAACAACGCGTCCACACAACACCGTAGCGGATTCGTGCGTATATGTAGCAGAAAAAACAGTATCAATGAATAATGAAGGTTATCAAGTAGGCAAAAAAAACAAATTGGAAGCAGTTTTTATTGCTGGCAACAGCCGTGATGCTAACAAATGTATCGTAGAACGCGACAGGAAGGACGGCGCGGCGACGTGCCCGCGACGACCTTGCAACACTATTCACTATCGCCGTTTTAATAGACGATGTTAAACGAATAGCAAGAACTTATCAGTTCTTGCTATTCATATTCTATCAATCTTAGTACATTACGCTGATTCATGAAACCTGACCTATGCCCAAAAATAATTTGTTAATTAAATCCACATGGAACGATTCTGTCTAGTTGAGACGATTGTTTCAAATGAAATCTGTTAACATCTTTATGTATTTATATTTAAAACTACAAAAGTAACGCTTGTGAATTAAAAAATTAACTAATAAATTAAAACGTAAAAAATTGCTGCGCACAGGAAGTGAATTTGAATAAAATTTATCGAAATAGTTCCAGAATATTCCTTGGAAAATTATTGTAAAATTTAATCATGATTCCTATAAAAATCTGTCGAGTTTCTCTAAACCATACTTAGTCCTTAGGCAGTAGTCGTTTTTATTCCTTTCATTTAGCGCGCTCCCGATGTAAGCAATAAGAACGCAACAAAGTATCGTAGATTTAAGCCAACGAATTATTAAACTTGAAAACTTGGCAACTTTTGATGTTCTCCCTGTGGTGTAATTTAGGAATAACAAAGGAATTATGCAAATAGCAGGCAAGAGGGTGAAAACGAGCTTAACGAAAAAGAATTATAAGACGAAAGCT